ATCAACCGGAGTAACCTTGCGGTGAACACAATGCTCTAAACGCAAGAAGTAGCGGTCTGCTCGGTAAATCGCAATTTAACGCGTTTCCGGTTCCTCTATTTTTCTTTGCAATTTCGAAGTTCCCCTTTTCTGGGTACCTGGAGATTGCACGAAACCGCTTAAAGTGATTTTATTGAGAAGCCGGCCAGTTGTTGCGTTTAGTTTTTATTCAGGGCAGGTTTAAATCGAATGAAAATGTGTCCACTCCCGGTTCAAGTACTTACACGGTCTCCCAGACGTTCTCTTATGTCTTTCATTCATATTTTTTTCTCGGTTTTTTGCTATCGCTTTTTGTTTAACCAGTCGCAACGCTCGACGATGCGCGGGCTGTCGCTCGGGGGTGTCGAATTTATTGCAAAACGTGAAAAATCACCCCCCTCGTCGGCCCGGCCGCTTTTCCGAGCTTTCCGATAGGTCCTCTCTTCTCCGGGGCGTCGCTCGGATCGCTTCATCTTCTGTTTCCTTTTTTTTTCCTTTTTCTTCTTCTCTTTATATATCCTCGGTTAATTAATATATAAAAAAGGTTCATCGCGACAGTCCGCTCGAAGTTAATATCGAGAGCGCCATTTCGGCCGTCCTGACGGCACTTGGGGCTTACTAATACGAGTCTGTTAATTCGAGACGAGCGAGCATCGCCGGTCACGTGGGGGACGAGGGGAGGTCTAGGGGGATTTCCCGAAGCCTAGTTACATTTGTCGCCGGCGATTAATCCCCCGAAATCCGAGGGATCTCTCCTGCAGGCTCTCCGCCATTTGACCATCCGATGGGAACGGGAAGTAAGGGGTTGAATGTCGCGAAATGTATCCCGAGGAACGCCCAATTTCGGACTCGCCCGCCATCGCCGTGACTAACTACGCTGTGTAATCCCCTCTTTCTAACAATAATTAAGTTGGCAGTTTCGGTTAACGATTAATTTTAATTCCGCGCCGGGTAGTGTTAAACGATTCGAGTCGGAAGTCTCCCCGATTGGCTGGCGGATCTTCGACCTCTTCTTCCAGAAATTCCCGAAATCCCGGCGAACCAATTCGGGGACGAGTCCGACTTCGCAATCCAAGATGGCGCGTGCGCAGACGATTATAAGTCATCGAGCGACCGCCCAAAATCGATTTTTCCTCGTGACGTAAATACATTTCCGCGACTCGGCCAGTCGGCGACTTTTCGAGACAGCTTCCCCCCTCCCCCCCGGAAATTCCTGATAACGAAACGCTTTTCGAAATGATCCAGCTTAACGATAAGGAGCGATAGCCTGGAACGTTTCAGCTATTCGCGGTGGATTCGAGATGTACCCTGGTCCTGCGATTATTTTCCACCCTTACGAAAGTCCACTTACAGGGGTGTGAGGTGGGCCGAAAAGGGCCGACTCCTCCCGACTTTGTAAATAAATAGAAAATAAATAATCACATCGCACGTTGCGCAGGCGTTGCGGTGAGATCGTGTCTGATTCGCCATTTTGTTTTTTGTTTGTTTTTTTTTAGGGTTTTCCGGGTGATGATGTTGAAGGAGCGGACACTTATCGGCACACCCTGGAGTGTTCGCACGCATATGTAAATTTGCGTACGTGCACTGCAATATGCACGTGCCCGGAAGTTGCACGTATGTGCAGGCGACGCATGCGTGGCAGTTCAATGCGTCGACAGGGCCGAGCATCGGCGATCCGTCACCCAGTTCTTCGGGTCAATCGTTAGCCTGCTCTCTCTCTCTCTCTCTCACTCTCCCGCGATCGACGATATTTCTCTTCCGGTAATACATAATAGGTGGCCCGCCATTAACATAAATCCTACCAGAGGACAGAGATCATCATTTATGTAAGCTCTCGGCGTCGGTGCGGCCCGCCGTAACGCGGCCGTAAATCCACCATAAATTTCGCGTCTCCCTGGGAGGCCCTCGAAAATCCGCTAATTTGTAGTACACCGACATCTACCGAGCCAACGAGACATTACGCCGCTGTCAAATTCCACGGATGTCGGCCTGACAAGGCTGCCTCGAAATTCCTGGCTCCCCATGGTAATAAACCACGGGACGGGTCCAAGGGGGATTGTAGAAATTTCGAAGGAGATTTCCTCCGAGACCGCGGGTCATTTTCGGATCTTCTTGGATCAAGATCTTCTGGAGAAATCCCGAACAATCGGCGCCGATCGTCCGGGAGATTTGAAAAGCCCGCCTCCTTGCCACGGGGGCCGCGCCGACGCGGTGGCGGTGGCGCTCAACGCAAACAAACGCATATACTATGTAATATATCGCAACGACCAATTCAACCATGCTCTCGTAATAAACGAGTAAATCTCCTAAACGAACAAGAAATGTCGACGCCTCGCACCGCGAAGCTAGGAGTGGAATTAATCCCCAAAATCGGCCCTCGAAACGGAGTGAAGGAGGACGCACCGTGGCGCAGTATCTGAGCGTCCCCGCAGATGGCGCGTCGAACAAAGAATAGGGAATCTACCCTTTTGGGAAGGCTTTGGGTTGGTCACCCGCGACTTGGATTTGTTAATCCGACATTGGTATCTACACGTGTGGCATATCCTCGGGTACCGTTGACGCGGGTTTCCTTTCCCGTCTCCGCCATCTTGGAACCCCCGGAAACCACCCACTGATTTCTAATGAAAATTGCGACTACGTCAATGAAACTCCGCCGGGAAGGATGGGGTATTTTTGGTCGGGGGTCTTATCGCCCCTTCTCGGGGAAAATGTGAAAAGTCGAGGTAATACTTGGGGCGAAGTGCGATTGTCAATTTCCTCGGCATCGCGATAGGAAGTTGCAAAGGGTTGTTTGGAAACGCAACTCGGGGGTGGTTCGCGGAAGTTTCCCGGGGGGCAATTTTTGCGCGGGTCAAAACTTGGAGAAACGGGGAAGATCTTGGATAGGTGCATTTTCCTAAGGCGGAATTCTCAGGGAGAGCAGCTGGCTCAGCATCTTTGTCTCCCCGAAGTCTGGCGATCGGACTATTTTAGGGGTAGTTGGTACTGGCGAGGGAGCCGGGGAGGGTTGGGCGTGTCTGATCGATATCCTGAATGGCAAGATTCCACGTATCATCCCCTCCCGCTTTTAGGGGTTGAAAGAGAAGCAGACCCGGAGAGGGTGGGAGGGAGAGACGCGGAGACGCCGAGATAACCCGAGAGGGGAGTCGCGAAAGCGACGTGCAGAGGAAATAAGAGGAAACGAAAGGGGTGATGGGGAACCGAGGGAAAGTACGCACGGGGGGTAAAGAGACACGCAGATGGAGGCTGCCACGCGGGAAAGGGTGGACGCCAAAGGGAAACTGAGGGAGAATCAGAGGGACAGGTAGATGCGGTGAATGAGATAGGCGGCAAACGAAAAGGAAAGGGAATGGGTTCAGACAGGCAGAAGTGCGGAGTTAAAAGGGGAGCATTTGTACAGGGGCCTCGAAATTCCCGGCAGTGGGTTGCGGAAAACTGATAATTCACCCTGACGTCGAAATTTTAGGCTTTGAGTGCCGGAACGATTTTTGGAATCAATTCGGCCCCAAGATGGCGGAGTGGTTCGGGAGATGCGACGCGGACCTCGAAAGGGGTGCCGGAAGCTTCCGGAACCTTGGTTTGGTCTCCTGGAATTTAATTGGAAAAAAATCCCGATTAGGTTCCTGGACCTCCCAATACCCAAGACGATTGTCCACGTCGATGCGATCTTCGCGGTACGGTAACATTGATTGAGTCATTCGCGTCGTGCCTGTCGCGGTGGAGACTTCTACTACTGGAGAACGCTGGCCGTCTGCTGGAAATCCAAGATAGCCGCCAATAGACGCCCGGCGTCTCTTGGGGAAAGCATTCGAAGGGAACCGAAAGTCTCGAGTAACGATGACCGATCGCCGAAAGTCAGCTAAAAACCGCACCAGTCCCCGACCGTCCTTCATCAGCGGAAACCGCCATCAGCGCGACGTGGTGCTGACCTACCGAGTCAGGTCACTCCGGGTCCCTCTAATCATCGACCACATCCCGCAACAGCATCCAGACTTCGTTACGCAGTCCGACTTCGGCTTTGTGACGACGTTGACCACTGGCTGACCAATCGCGACCTCGCCAGCCGACAACGACCCTCTGCAACGGCCGTGGTTTCCGGCCGAAGGACTTCCGCTGGCCTTCTAGACGTAGTTCTCGGATCCGCCGCAAGGACGCTCCTGGCTGTGGACAATTCCTCATCGCAAGGGGCTTTGCAGTTGCAGCGTTGGGGAGCTGAGACCCGTTAGCTGCTTCGGGCCACGTTGGTGGACCCGATGATTGGCTCTTCTATCCTCTATCCAGGGTGGTGGCTCGACCGGAAGTGCACCTAACGATGGCCCGTTGTCGTCCCCACTTAAGGTTAAGCCTTCGAAAGGAAAGAACAGGATCTTCCTCCCCTCCCACGTGGAGTCGGGCTCGGCGTCGGCTCGACCTCCCTCCAGAGGCGCTGCAGTCGCGCTCGGTGCTGCCCGATCGCGGCGTTGCTTACAGTCGGTAAACTTATTTTAGCTACTAGTAGGGCTAAATTGACGTGTTTATACCGAAGGTTCATCTCCCACTTGTCCCCCCCCGTCGCGTTAAGTACTAGAGATATACTGGCAATGTTTAAGGTATGTTCGTCATTCGGTGATCGACCGGCACTGCGCCCCGCTGGTCGCCGCATCTCGGCCGGGGCCGCCGGCCATCTTGGAAGTCATGGCGCTCCACCTCGAGTTTTTGCCTCGCCCTACGAGCCCTCCTCGGCCTCCCCGATCGCCCGTTTTTCTTCCGCGTGATTAATCGTCCTTGCACGAATCCTCCGCCGCGGCGGAAACGCGGTGGTGTCCTTCTCTCCGGCGCTGCGCCCTCCGAGGAGTCTCCGGCTCTCCGACGCGCCGCCATTGAGGCCGATCGACGCGACGCAGTCGCCGGCGATCGGAATTAGTCACAGCACGCTTTAGTTCCACTTCCGGCCCGTCTCTTGGCTGCCCTTCCGGCAACCCCTGGTCGCGGATCCTAACCTCTTACTTGGCCTCCTCCAGTAGCACCAGATCGTCCGCCACGACGTCGCTGATGTGCAGGTAGATGATCCAGTACATCAGGTTGAAGCACACGAAGCACACCGGAAACACGATGCGCGAATACTTGTCTATGTCCGACGGCGTTATACCTAGAACCAGAGACACGAGTTACGTCATTTGGACCGCAAGAAGACGCTTTGCCGATTTTTAGAAATTTAGTACGAATGTCTTCTGAAATCCTTACACTTGTATACTGAAATCCTAAAGGTAATATTTTTCATATTCTTAATAGGGTAGTAGGGACGGTAGCTGATCGTTCTCTGGCATGTTTCCTCATTTATTATTGTGCACGACGACTCACCGTACAATTTGCTGATATCCTTGCCCGGATGGATGAGATGCTGCGGCGCAGGAGGAGCTTCCTCGTCGGCTCTGCCGTTGATGGTGTTCTCCAGGGTGCCGCCCTTGCTGTGTGCCTTCGGGTCGTGCACCTTGAACCGCACCTCCTGGACAACACGGGACCACTTACAAGGGACACGGCAGTTCATCGGGGTTAAGTACGAGTTCGAATTGTCGACCCTTAATGCTAATCGAGATTGTTAAGGTGATCATTAAGGGTGATCCGGTTGCACCAACATTCGAGTTAAGATCCTTAATCAAGGATTACTTAACGCGTGATTAGGGAGAAATTCTAATCAAATTATTTTAACCTTCGGTTAGGTTCATTCTTGTCGGTGCAATCCAAATCGCGCTAATTCAAGATTAACTAATCGTGGTTCAGAAATTTCATCCTAATTACGGTTGGAGCAATCGGTTTTAAGTATATTCTAGACACCTAGGGAGGCGAAGATTGACTTTCGGAATGCGTTTCCTTTTTCAAAGGGCATCCGGGTTGTCCCGACCTGCATCATCCCTTCTTTCCCGAAGTGCTCATCCCCCGCGGATTCCGCAGCCGCGCCAATCCCTGTCGGCGGCGCCGCCAGCGGAATCTCGGGAAGGGAAATTTAATATCCAGAAAGCGTATACGATTCGCCCGTGGAACAAGACGTAATTTCGCGTTCGATATCTCGCGAGAGGGATCTCCCCGAGTGGAGGGCTGAAAAGAGATTACTATCCGCGCCAGTCGCTCGATAATGGATTCCGTTTGCATCGGCCTCCTAGGAAGGGCCTATCTTGATATGTCAATGCAACTCCGAGACGCCCACGAGGTGGGAACTGCCTTGAGAACGTCGTTAAATAATAGTCCCGACGTAACCTCAAACTTCATTCCCCGGGGACCGTAATGTACATGTACGATGTCAGGGTTTAGGGGAAAAGAGGGTGGCGGCTGCTGCTTCGATTTTCCTTCCCCGCCTTAAGACTTAGGATTCATGGCAAATAGGTAAACGCGGGGAAGAAGAGAGCCAAAAAGTGCTCCCTTTTTTTAGTGTACATATATGTATAGTATTTATTTTTTTTTTCGAGGTCTGCAAGCGACGCCGTAAATCCCGCAGTCAGGGAACAAGGAACGCGAGCAACAACCGGTCTACGTAAACTGCATCCAATGGAATCCCATTCCGAAGATCCAATTGTGGTCTGAAAAGCCACACATCGATTCGGCCTGCACAGTGCCTTTAATGCCGGTACAGGTCTCCTTGCGGTCTAGGGGAAATCAAATTTCCCCAGCCGCATCCTTTGGTCCTGCCCGGCATCTGCAGCGACTCACGCGACTATGCCAGCCTCCTTTCTGAAGTTTCCCTCTAATTCCCCCCCTCGGAATTTAAGTTCAATTTCCACTAGAGCTGTTCCACCCCAATAGTCGATACACCCCCGCGCGTTTCCGTTTCCCCCGAAGTTCCCTGCAGGCCGGTAACTAGGTTTAAATTCCCCGCCCTCGAGGCTCTTCGGCTTGGCGAACGGCCACGGCGAAGTTGCGGGACTTTCGTTACGCGATACTTCATTTCCTGCCGCACGCTCGAGGGAAATAAAAAAGAAAGCCAATCGGCACCTTGCTAGGAAAAAGTGAAAATAAATGGCTGTGAGAAGAAAAAAAAGAAAAAAAAAACATTTTGGTAAAATGCCCATCGGAGGATTTGAACACTTGGCCGGTGGCGACGATTCTGGGCACTCCGGCCTTCGGATGTAGGGCCGTGGTCGTAACGCTAAAACTGCAGTTTTTCTCGTTTTTACCCAGGGAAACATTTTCTATTCGGGATCTTTTATCTTCTGCATCATCAGGCGGTATGATTACTAGCATTGCGAGCGAACGGAGGCGATCGGGGGCCGACAAAACGGCCAGCCCGTTAAATCCTTTTACGAGTTCCGCGCGGCCATGCATCGCGCATTGTCCGTAGGCGAACCTACGGCCGGGTCGATTTAATCTCGCGGTGTTTCCATAAATCGGGTTAATAATTCCCGGTTTTAATTAAGGCGGCCCTGCCTATCCGCGACACGGCCTCCGACGGTGTCTCGCGGATCCTCGGTTTAATATTTTTGTTCCCGCACAATCTGCGAGATTAAAAGGAAATTTATAGCGCGGGGAACCCCCACCCAGCCGCGCTCATTCGGCGAGTGGGACTTCATTCCGTGGGACCTTTTAGCTCCTGACCTTTGCCCTCTCCCGACGCGGGAATGCACAAAGTGTAACGACGTACCGAGTACGTACACATATATTTCTTCCGGGGTGCACTCGTGCCCGGCGCGGCCCTCGAAACTGTTATCAACGACCATAATCTCGCTTTTTCGGGCGCGATATCCGTGGCAACTCGTCCGAGGGGACGATCCCAAACGGAAAACTCGGCAAAACGCGTCTCCCCTTTAACCCCGTCGGCAGATTTCTGGCCACTCCGCGGAATAATTCCGCCAATTGAAAATAAATCCCTGGGAGGCCTCCTCTCGGCCACCTCGACAGCTTTCGGGCGCTGGTAAGCTCCCCGAAGTGATACGTTCCAATCAGCCGGGATATCGGCGTGTTTATCGGCTCCCCTCGTTGATTCAATTAGCAAGGACACCGCCGTATCGATATTACCTCCCTTAAAACGCGTACATCACGAGGCCCCCGGATCGGCGTCGGCCATTCGTTTCCCTTAACCCGGGTTAATTCGCGGCGTCTGATTTACGTGTCACGGGCCGGCGCAACCCCGCCGTCCCTATGACCACATCACGGCGTGCTAATGGCGCAGCCTAATTGTTTAAAGCCAATTAACCGATTCCTCGTACCGAGCGAAATGCAGATTCCCCCTTAACGGCCCCGGAATTAATGTTTCGCGAGTCTGGATTGCCCCGATTTCCGGCCTCCCGCGTCGTCTCTGCAAGCGCGGTCGCCATCTTGGAATCCGTGGTTATCGACGTCCCCCGACTTTCCGGGGAATTGTCAGGGCCTAATCTCGTATTTGCGCCCGGAATTCTGCCTCTTCGCGCGTTAAAGAGATCCTTCGACATGTTTCTCTCAGGTATTCGCCCGGAAATACGCTCTTTCTTATAGATTCTGTCTAGCGTTACTCACAGTTTGCTTAGGCGCGTGGTCGCCGTGGTCGCCGGGCACCCCTGGCGGTCCTGGGTTCTCCCTGGCGGCCTTCATGCTCTCTGCGATTTTCTGGAACCTGTTCTTCCGCATCTGTATCCTCTTCGCCATATATCCCACCGTGGCGTACTCTGCAGTATCCATGGAAGACGAAAAAACATAGCAATAAGATCGTCAGATGGGCGAGAGAGGGAGAGAAAGAGAGAGAGAGAAAAAAAGTAAAAAAAGGTGGAGGGCGTCGGTCGCGAGTCCGTTGGTCCGGATTCCCCGGGTCGAGGGTCGAAGGTCGCGATCGTTCCGGTCGGGCTTCCAGCTTTCGGAGGGAAACTTCGATTTTCGATTATTTCGCCCGCTCCCTATATGGACGCCCCTTTTCTCGCGTATTATAAGAAGGGATACGTGACGTCAGAGGGATGCTGGCGGGGACGGATCGCGAAAGAAGGGTTGCGGTTATTTATGGAGTGCGTTGACTCGTGAAATCGCCACCCCGTTTCCCGAGGACGTCGGATCGGCCGACATCTTTGTCGGCGGGTGACCCGGTCACGAGGGTTGCTTTTCGCGACGTAGACTCGCGGGTTATCGCGACGTGTAGCAGTTTTACGGCTCCATCGAGATTCCCCTTTGTCCGCGGATTTTTCAAATTCCCCTCGTCCCGGAATTAACCGATCGCCGAGCGAGCCCGAAATTTAATTCAACCCTGATCGCCGAATGTCTTCGGCGAAACGAACCCGAGGAAATAGACACCCTCGACATTTATACCGGAATTTTTCGCAACATCCCCATTTATCTCGCCAACTTTTCTTCTCCCCCGACATTTCTGCAATCCGCCGTTTCCGCGTCGTCGAAACGAGCTTTCTCTTACCTGTGCCACAGCGGCTGATGGCCGACTAGTGTAAAAAAAAGGAGAAAAAAAAAATGAAGAAAATGGCGGCAATGATCTAGATGGACTATTTTTTTTTCTTTTTTTTTCTAGGTGATGGGTGACGTGAAGCGCGTTCCTAGCTATTGGCAATGACGATGCTCTAACCATACGCGTTACTTTGCTGCTCCAATTGCTTTTTTTTTCTTTTCTTTTCTCTGTCTTATTTGCAGGAAGCCAAGCGTCAGAGCTAATCGTTAAATCAGTGGAAAAAATGGAGAGCGCAGGTTATTAAATTGGTACTGCTTTGCCTTTGAGTACGAATTCGGGAAATGAACACTTGGTGACCGCTGGGCGGGGAGGTGGGATGCTGGGCTGAGAAAACCCCTGAAATCTGGTTTTTGGACTTCAAGAGGCTTGGAAACCGTTCGGGTTCCTTTGGATCTTGGGGGGAAATTCGAGGACGACCAATCGCGATAAAGTTCACAAAGAGGATCCTGTCTACATACAAACCGACGGGATCGGTTCGCCCCAACTCTTTGAGCCGCATTTACTTTAAGTAGAGCTTTGACCCCCAGGCCTTCCTTCTGGAGAGGACCATTCAGTCAAACGAATATCTCCTTTATTCTCCCCAAGGCGGGTTTACCTAGTAACATATTTGGGGAAATGCAGCCGACCTCGATGACGAAGGTAAAAAAATTACCCTGCGAAAATTTCGGCACATTTTGAAAATGAAACCCCTTCAAGAGTCCTCGGCCAGAAGAAGATCCTTCAGGATATGAAGGTTCCTGCTTCCCAAAACATTTTACGTTCTTTCCACGTAATTCTTGTTAATGCAATTCCCCGAAAGGTCTTGGTAAAGAAATTCCTAGTTTCGAGAAATGCAGTGTTAATCGTACATATCCTCGTGAACAGAATTCACTGAAGAGTTTCACCCCGAAAAGGAATCCTTCGACGAAGAAATGACTACGCTTTAAAATGGCGTTCCAAAGTATTGTGTACTATCTGTTCACACCTTGGTAATAAAATTCCACGAAGAGGTTTCCAGCCAGGAGGGGAATCTTTTAATAAGGGGATTATTACGCCTTAAGAAACGTTCCAAAATAAATGCCACACTGTTTGTACACATCCTGGTAATAGAATTCCCTGAAGAGAGTCCCGTCCAGAGGAGGATCCTCCGATAAAGAAATTACTACTCCACTTCCGGGGGAAACGAAGCCCGTCCGTTCCCGAAGGAACACTTCCCCGTAAACGCAATTTCGGAATTTCGAAATTCCCCTTTGACAAGGCCGGCGACACTCCGCGTATCTTTCCGCAATTTTTCAACTCCTCCGCAATATTCCGCGGCTAGTTAAGCGGAGCTTTTGATCCCAGGGTCTTCCCTCCTGAGGAAATTTCCTAGGGGAGGGAATTTCCTTCCCGCGGCTCATTTTTCTGTTAAAACATCCGCTAAGTTAAAGAGGACCGGCCTCGCGGGGGGCGTAACGTCATTTTGGGGAATTATCCGCAAATTACAAAGTTACCCAGGACTCTGCATTGACTTAAGCGCAGTTCGGTCTTGCCGCAGTCGGGTCTTCTTTGGAATGACTTTTCCACCATTTTTAAATACTTTTCGACTGATATTTCCATTTCTAACTGGCTCTCAATTTGCTGCGCATTCATTCTCGAGGTAGCCTTAAGTTAGCCCGACTTAACCCAAATTAGCCCTGCAATTAGATCGGCCAGTGCTTAACCAATTGATGGAGCCCCATAATACGATCACATGCGATTAACCACTTTCGAGATGGTAATAGACCGCGGTATTCGAAGCGATAGTTTCTCCTCGTTTCTAACCTAATCTCCGGTATTACCGGAAAAGCAGAGATGATCGTTCCGCCCCTCTTCACCCGCGCCTCGTTACGGCGATATCTAGTGTACTTGAACAATTACACTAGGTTCAATTACTCCATGCCCCCTCGTAATTCCATTCCTATGCCTGGCATAATGGCCGCCTATCGCGTTTCTGACAATAAACGAGGCCCCGATTAATAATATTTCCCTCTAGTCCCTGTACTAGAAATTTTACGCAAATTTTTCCGCATTTTTGCGTAAACTTTCCATTACACCGAACATGGTAAATGCAAAATTAGCCCGAATTCGGCCTCGTCGGGAATTCTACCGAGGAATATTTCATACAGGCCTCGTTGGACGGGGAGTAAAACGTAAATAAAATAATTTCCGTAATTGCTACCGCGATACCCCGAAAGTGTTCCATTATTTCCGCGTGTCGCTCGGCCTCCTCGGGTATCGTGAAATATTTCATCGGCGACTATAAATACCGTGAATTTTTCAGAACGCAATTACACCCCGGTGTTATTCCCCGCCGGTTGTGAAACTTTAACTCGAGTTATTAGTTCCCAATCAATGGCCGAAAAGCGTGGGAGGCTTACGGCCAGCTTTCTGAATTTTTATTTTACCCTCGATCAGGAGATGCGCCCTGGCAAAAAATCCAAGAAAATATTCAGGAAGCCGTGGATGATTTAAGAAATTAATTGGCGCAATTGCGAGTTAGTAAAATAATGCTACTTCCTTATATTCGTTACCTTGAGGGAGGAGTTCGAGTATCCCTAACGTGAAAATGTCTGCTGCGAAGAGTGCAGGGACCGCTAAGTCTACTCTGTTTAAACAATCAGCCGTTACAGGGAAATGTTTATGACAATATTTATACTCATTTCCATCCCCGAAACGCACGGTCGTGGGTTACGTTTCGAGGATGGAAATCCGTTTAACGAGCAGCACTCGATGCTGCTCGGGAAGTCTACACTAATTTTATTCTCCTTTATTAAAACGTCGGGTTTAAAATCATGAAATTATTGTCCGCCAGCTCGAAACGTGCCGCCTGTGCTTTTTCCGCACGCAGGCCGCACGTTCCGGGTGCGGAGGGTGCAATTATTCGGAAATTAAATCGAAATAAATGACTGGCGATTTCCTTAATCTCGTGAGAATTCGCCATTAACGAATCCGCGAGGGCGTTCTCCAGAAACGGAGAACCGGGAGGACGAACGTTAAACTCAAAACTAAATTAGGCACTTCTCCAAGCCGGAAAACGTTAACAAAGTCCCCCTTGGGGGGTCTATCGAGGGCGCAGCTTTTACAGCGGCTTTACAGCGGTCCAGGGTCGCATAAAAGAGTCAGGATAAGAGCGAGGTAAGACGATCGTGCACGGGGAAGCACAATTCTCGGCAATATGGCGGCTCCAGGAGGAGGCTGGGACCGCCATTCAAAATGCATGCGGCAGCTCTTTGGAGATTTGTGTGCCGGATGCACATCGTCTTGTCCTGCTCTTGCCGTGACTCGGGGTGGTCCGGGGGTTCCGGAGTCCTGACGAGGCCAGCTGGTTCAGGACGTGTCGCTGAATTAGCAACAATATTGTCCCGAACAAAGCACCAGCAATACCGGGAGGGACAAACTGGCTCCCAGTGGCCCCGGTCGCGCGGGAGGAGGATCCGACATTTAGAGCGGCAAGCAAATTGCTCGAAACGGTGCTCCTGAGACAGCGATCTCTATCCCTCGAGGCAGCAACGTTGGGTCCCGCAGAATTCCCCAGGATAATCGCAAAGCAAAAGGTTTAAACAAGAGAAAAACTGCCACTAGGAAAAAGGCGACCCGACGTTGCTATTTTTCAGGGACATCGCTGTCTCCGGAGCAGCAATAGCGTAGGAGTACTACAACCTGACTACACTGTTAAAAATATCCACAAGATGTCTGAAAAGGAACACGCTTGTACCGTAAATTAATGGCACAAGGTACGAAATCATACGCGTGTTTGCAAAGTGTTTAAACAAAATGTCACAAAATTAGTACGCGATGTCCGGATGAAACATGGAAAAAATCTTATGGGATTGAAGTATGTATCTCTTTAACAGTGTACGATTTGTCTAGGGGAGCTAACTTGTACCGATGAGGTGCAAGTTAGCTCCGAAAGCGGATGGGAGGCGGAGATCGGCGTCGTTGCTGGTTTCCAAGGCAACGGATCAGCTGATCCCCGCTTAGGGATGTCGGTCCCTTCTCGCGCGTCGGGTTTGTTCATCAGGGTTGCTCATTGCTGGGGCCATGTCCGGGGTAATATCCCTCGGTGCACCCCCGGGGGTTCGGGTGCGTTGCTGGGTTCTACTTACCGAGCAGCGATGCGAAGACCATGACGAAACAGGTGCCCAAGTAGACGTCAATGGACTTGACGTAGGAGATTTTGGGAAGGGCAGCATTGGTCGAGGACATGAGGGTTGTCATGGTGAGCACAGTGGTTACTCCGAGGGCGACCCGAGCGGGGGTTGCGTTTCGGTTTAGCCAAAAGCTCACCCACGAGATTATCACAATTAATCCCGAGGGTATGTAGATCTGGATCAAGTAGTAGCCCATTGACCGGACGAACTGGATCTCGCAGGCTAGCCGGGAATAATTCCCTGCGAAAAGAACGAAGATACACTCATCAGCTTGACTGGGCTAGCCAGGGGTAGAACGTTGCCCACCGGACCTAGCCTTAGACTGCGTTAGTTCGGATTTTTCGGGGTGACTCGTTTTACGGGATCACATTTCGGGATCACGCTTTCGGGATCGGTCTGGACTATCTCGATCGCCCCACCTCTCGGAGGTCCAGCAGGAACGTTTCGGAATCCAACTTATCCTGGACACGACCGACTCCCACTTATCTCTGCAACTGGAAAACTGCAGTCATCGACGCGAAAAATCGTCCTGGAGACCTCGAAACCTTAAGACCTCGTCCTTCGCCCTTCTCAGCCATGCGCATCCCGGATGCACCGTCGTAACTGTATTTTTCAGACTCCCCATAGTTCTTGCGGTCTCCCGGCTTAATGGTGCGTCTGGGAAGAAAATGCTTTATACAAAACTTGTACATAACACGGTTCCGCGTAACTTTTATCCGACGTGTTTGTCTCCACGACGAGTCGTTCGAGGGGAATATCGCGTTTAACGAGGGAGCGGGAAAATGCAGTTACGACGACTCCGAGATCGGCAGCCTTGGCGTCGTCGTGGGAAGTTCTCCTCCGGGATCTCGAAAAGTGCTTTTCCGCTCTTTCGAGGGTTTCGCAACGCCTTAATATTACGTGTCGGGGGGGCAATCGATAATTCAGGAGCCTCGACTGTCGCACCCGCTCGATTCTCCTTGATCGGGGCTCAAAGCCGAGGGGGGCTCGTCCAATCTCGGCTGATTCCTCCTGGAAAATTCCTCTTTGAGCTTAATTTCAGCAGATCTTGCCGAGGTTCTTGCCGGATTGGACGGGGCTTTTCTGGCCGAGCGACCTCGCCCTCTTCGGGCTCTTTTTCCGGGCTTGCTGGACCGTCCGCTAAAGATCTCGCGAGACGCTAACGACCCGCGGATGGAGTTTCTTTCGCGAGGAAGATGGAGTGGAGCCACCCTCTTGCAGCATCCTCTTGGCAAAGGGAGGTTCGCTAAAGAATTCACGTCGGGTCTCCTTTTAGCAAAGAGTCCGGATCGAAGGCGAGCGTCGATCGAAGATTCGCCTCGAACAGGCAAGACTTTCGTAAAGGAATAACTGGGTCCGTAATGGCGATTCTCGTCGAGACAATTTCCTCGATTGCCCGGTCAGGCTTCTCGTAATGCGTCGCAAAGCAAGGACCTCTCGGGAACGCGATTTTCCCTCCATCCAGGACGCCACTAAGTCGCGCAAGCCGGGCATTTCATTTGAATATCGCGAATATTAAAGGCCTACTTGAAATACATTTCGGGAAGAAATGTACTAAGGGGTCGGAAAGAGTCCCTTGAGAAGCCACGCTCTCCTGGAGTTGGGATTTCTTGATGCATCCGGGTGCATTATGGATATCTGATCGTGTGTCTGGTTCTATCTTCGGGGTTCTTTCTTCCCTGTTAGTGCAGGTCAGGGTCGAGGCCGGCGTTCTTTGGTTGGTCCTTCCTCGGTCCTCCAATCCGAGGAATTTCGGTCAGTCTTTATCGGGATGCAGGCCCTCGTTCATCGGGTAATCCCGTTTCCGGGAGTCGTCCTGGGGGTGGTGTCCCCCACATCCACCGTGGTCCGCTAAATCGACTCGCAGGGGCGAAGCTGGCCTCAAAGTCGAAGGTTTAACGAATGGAGTCGTTGACCCAATTTCCACCTCGCAAAGTATCTCGACATTAAATATCCCTCCTGCCTGGTATCCAGCTGCCATTACGACGGGATCCAATTTTCTGAGGAGTGACGCTCTAAACTCGGCTGCAGCTGACGTCATTTCCCCCCTTGCTGGACCCACGTCATCCCCTTCATCAGACGGATTTCCTGGCTTCATTTAGCATCGGCTAGACCTTTTTCGTCACCTCGGCGTATTCAACTGTGTCTCTCTTTGATCCCCGTCCTCGACTGAGGACTACGTGCCATCTGGCAATTGCTTTCAACGGCAACTGTTGCATGCCCTGCACCTTGCACTTCGCAGATTCGCCCGACTTTGACTCCTCTTCTCGTCAGATTGGGACCCTGAAGACGTGCCTTCGAGGACGTGAGCTGGGATTTTTATGCCAGGTTAATACCATTGTCCCTGGACCCCTCATCCACCACGGGTCCTCCAGGACTCGGGGCTTGGAACATCCCTGGGGAACCTGCGCTGAAGGGACGTCGAGAGCCGACCAACACTCATTGCCCGAGGGCTGTGTAAGCATCCGGGATGCGATGAGGACTTCGCAAAACCTGCCCGATCCTTCCCGCAGGATGGAGGGAACTTTCTTTCGAGAGGATTCATTAAACATCGGCCTCATGGACTCGGAGGTCCTTCAATGCCCGATGAGATGTGCATCTTTCGGCACGAGTGGACCGCCCACGTCCTAACTGGCTGACTTTGGGTCCAGGAAACGAGAGGCAGATCGAGGAGCCCTTGATTCGCCGAGTAGAAGTTCCAGGTGCCCCTGGTGCACGTCTACAAAGTGGGGAACGGAAAGAGTCTCTTGAGATCTCTATGGGCCGACATTTAGTTTCCAATTCCGGGGAGTGGAAGCCAATCAGGCAGCGAGGGTACCGAAGTAGGCTTTAACCTGGTGTCGAAAATTTCATCAGGGGTGATAGCCTCTTTTTGTCAGAAACTGGGATATGGAAGCTGCAGCTCTGCGAGGTCAGGCCGACCTAAACGATCTTTGGAAACGAGGCGCGATGAAACGGCGGAGGATGCCGGGAAAGGTCTAAAAACTGGGAAATAGTGGAAGGAACTGCCAGAAAAAGTGGGAGAAACTCGGAAGGATCGACCAGAGAGGCAAACTCGAAAAAAGCAATGGACCAAGAGGCTTACGCGAGCGCACGCTCGATTGCGGCGACTGCTCGGCCAGCTACTCCGTTTTAATTACTGACCCCCTGATTGCGGTCGGCCATTGAGAGTGGGAATAGAAATCGAAAGGCCGGGAGGGAAAAAGGAAGGCAGCCCTTTGTATTCGGACAATCCCCGAGAGCTACCTCGTGTCGGATGCTGCCGCCCGATTCCGCACGACCGTTCACCCCCCGAGTGCCGAAAAGCGGTTGTCCCCCAATTATCTTCTTCCTTTGTGCCACCCGTCACGTCCCGACACCAGACAGCAAGGACAGCTGCCGAAGTGCCGTTCTGAATTTTTTCTAAATTTTTTTTCCCAAATTTTTTCCATATTTTCCTCGGTTACTATAACTCTAGAAGCTGAACCTCGAATCGTCTAGGTCAGTTCCATGTTGAGAAACGTTCAGGAAAGCGAGGGAAAGTTCCGGTCCCGGTTTCACCTTGAAGGCCCGAGAGGTACCTTCCGAAATGCTGCGAATAGTCCGCCGGCAATTCCCGGGGACGAGTCGAAGTCTAGGGTAATCCTCGATAATTCAGCAGGACGTGGGAGCTCCCGGGTCCCGCAGGGTCATTCGGCGTAATCCGAGTCGTAATTAAATCCTTCCTGGAACTAAGTAGAAACTCGCGTCTCCTCCCCGTATTCGGAGATTCCGGGAGCTCGGCGCTGACGCCCTTCCAGCTACCGGGTTTCCGCTCCCCCCTGCTACCCTGAAAACCACAGTTTACGGATTAACCGTAACTACCGTCTTTGTGCTGCCAGTCCAAGGAGGAACGAATCTCATTTGCCGCGCAAACTTTCGCCGGCACTCCGCAATCAGCGGCGGGAATTTATTGTGCGCCAGGAAAGAGGACTTGGCGAAGTTCCGCGCCGCCGGGAATAATCGGATGAAGTGGCTCCTCTTACGGAGGCGCACCGATATGCCCGGTTATCAAGGATCCTGGTGGAACTAACGAGAGATAACGAACGACCGATCGGTTGCACCTCGATTTTTGGCCTTCCCACTCCTGACAACCCAGGCGACGGAATCTATTAGAAGCCAGGAGTCAAGCTGATCAAGGATGGGAGTGATCCCTCGTTTGGGATGAACCCCAACACTGGTTGGTCAATCTCATCATCAGCAGGATGGTAGTTCATATTTCGCCATCTCAATGGCTAACTTAGGCCTCTTTCGTCGTCTTCACGAGCGTTGTCGTGGACAACGACCAACCTAACGTGTTCCAACAGCCTAGAACTAAAAGTGGTAACCTAGTGGGTCGACTCGTCAACGAGAGGTCTTCTTGAAGGGCTCGGACAAGTCGCTCGTCCTACTGCCCGTGTGATTTCTAATCACAATGGATACTTTACCGGTAGTCAAACTAATCTCCATGGCTCGCTGTCGGTGCCCGAGGACCTTGAACTGAGGCAGGGAGACCTCGTTGCTGACCCCAACGCTGTTCGGGCCCTCGTTCCACTTGTACCGGATGTCCCTCATGGTGTATCCGACTGAAAATAGAGAGACCCCCCGCGGTTGGTACATACCTTGCCGGAACCCGCGGTCTTGCGCAGGCTCCGAGGGGGCCTCCACTTACCTTCGGAGTCACACTAGCTTAACTTCCGCTCTTTAAATCGTGTACACGAGCCGCTCGAAACTCAACGAGACTTATCAACCGAGAGCCAGAACGATAGTTGTGAAGGGAGCTGGTGGAGGGCGAGCCTCGAGTGGGGAGCACTCGCCTGGTATTGGGAGATCGTGGGTCGTTGGTGGAGAGAGCTGATCCCGATGAAGGAAGTGGGCGAAGAAGACCGGTGCTACTAGAAAGACAGGGGAACACCGAGACTCTGGTCAGCACCACCGATCAGGACCAAGTCGCGAGGTCCTTTCACGGTGGGGCACAAGTGATGGTCCAGAAAGCTGGACAAGACAAGGCTGGACAATCCCCCGGGAACACTCTAAACATCCGCACGGAACCATCTTCGGGTAATGGTACGAACGTGCTCCTGGAAGTAGATTTCAACTCCCAGGGTCGGATCATCCCGCTGCAACCGCAGAGATGAACCGCCACGGAGAGAAACGAGGTGTACCGCTCTTCCCGTGTGGACACAATGGCTAGTGCACCACATTTATCTCCGCGAGATTGAATTTTTCTTACCGAGGTGCCGGACCGGCACACCCCCTGGGGACGTCTCATCGATCGGCCGGACCTTCGGGACCTGGACTCTAATTAGAGTTTGACTTTGTTCCGATCGATTACCACCCGAAGTGGGGGTTCAGGGCTGACGGATTGGGTGCGTTCCGGTAGGCGACACTTGACGGCGCAAGAGGATGATCAGGCATTAAGTGGACATTCGGGGGAGACGCTGATCAGTCCGCGGACTTTTTTGTCAGCCCTCAACAGCGAGCTGCACTCCGCGATATCCGCTCTGGACGTCCGACACTCCAAGTATCGGAGTCCATTTGTCCACTTTCCACCGAAACCTCCGCTTGCGCGCGTCCCGTGGCTGGACACAAAGCGAATGGGATGCAGACTGGATCCCCGGGATGGATGGACCATTCGGGAATCATCGGGGGTCAGACTCTCCTGGGCACATCGGGCGCCCCAACGTGGCGGGTGCATCGGTGCGGGATAAAACACTGTTGATTGATCTTGTGTGTAGAACGTTGGTGACACTTCAGAGAGGAGACAGAGAGTGTGGAGGATAGAGACTGAGAGAGAAAGACAGAGTGAAATATACAGAGATAGACTGCAGTGAGGCACGACCATTGCAGGATATCTACCTGTGGACAGGTGTATGGTTGTCTGTCGTTGCCTGTGCCCGAGCACGCGAAACTGCGGGAGTTCCACCTCGCTCGAGATGCCGACCGACTGTAGGCCGGCGTTCCATTTGTACCGAATATCGCGCATTGTGTATCCAACTGCCGAGAGAACAGAACACAAAAATCTCCGCTCTAACAATACGTTTACACACTTAGTTGGGCGTGGTGGGAGTCAATGGGCGGGGCTTGCAGCTGGACGGGGCGTGGCGAGCAGCTGGTCGGGGCGTGGTCTTTTGCTGGACGGGGTTTCCAACTGATGCACGCCGAAGGAAACGCAGCTAACCGACCGAAACTCCCTCATTATAATACTTGATCTATTTAATTTCGGATAGATCGTGTCGTCGGTGTTTTTCTTTTGACGTCAACCGTTCCTTTTTTATCCCACGTCTCCAGTCGGGGCCGGCATTTCCTTCGGAGTGGGGATGGCGTGAAACGACTCCTTGAAATCTCACGGAAGAAGCCTGTGTCGAGGAAGGTCGCCATTTTATGTCCGCACAATGCCGCTCGCTCAAACTTCGGAGAATTCCCGTTCTTTCTACCCTCGACACACGCTCCCTCGTTGGATCCCTATTCCCGTTTGTCGCGTCCCGAGTTGTGAACTTCCCGTAGCGATCCTCTCGAACTTTCCAAATTCGGTTGACTCGTGGCGATCCTACCCTTTCCTGTACGAATTCCCAGTCTCCTCGACGCGCGGCGAGATTGACAAAAGTGGGAATGGGGCTCTACGTTGCGCAAGTGGGGGGTCCAAATAGAGGATTGGTGGGCGTGGCCAAACTGAGCTACATACTAGACAACTTCGACAAGGTCTACTTGACGAGGTGGCCCCTACGTGAACCGAGGACTGGTGATCCCTGGTGCTCGTGCAGGCAAGGGTTAACCCCAATTTCACGCTTATTCAACACATTTAAAGGATTCATCTCGAAGTAAAATGCCATTTTAATTGAAATACAAGTCTGAAGATGTCACAACTCGAGACACGATGTTGAGGTTAATTCTTTATCCAGATCGAGATTGATCCGATGCAAATCAAAATTGGTACCGGGATTTTCGGAGGTATTAGGATATCGAATGGTGTCGGATGATGCGAAAATGCGATATCCTGCTCAAGGACCGTCGATCACTTCGTTTTCATCTTTAATGGTAGCTCTACTGGGAACTGCAAGTTTCGGGAGCAAGTCCCGACCCTGCGATCGCGATTGGGAGGACTTTTCATGTCCAGCTTAGGAACGTACGGCGGCATTCCTTCGCAGCTGCAACTGCAGCTCGCAATCGTTACGGCACATTCCGGAACTGGCTGAAAACGGCGCATCCCGACGCCCTGCAGCTGCATAGCAGACATTTGTCAGATTCTACCGAGCCTCGGATGTGCTCGAGGATTAAGGAACTTCGGGCCCTTAGGGCTCGAGCTCGAGCAACGCCGGGAATCAAGCCGGTCGGCGGAAACCTCTCACTCATAATTACATTCAATTCATTAGGCCGTAATTAATCGGCCTCAAACCAGCCTCGTTAAATAATGATCCGCGGTTAAACCGAATATTATCCAATAATCCGTCCAATTTCACGGGCGATCGCGGATTCGCATTAAAGACTTAGGTGCGGAAAATGTTTCCGATTGGGTCTTACAATCTCTTTCAAGAATTAATTTTCAGAACAGATGTTGATCATGATTAAGATCTGTGTGATTTCAAAATTTACGTAGTTAAGCTACGCCGTTCGATAGAGTGATCGGGTTTTGTTTTTTGTGTACCGAAGACCGGGATTTTTCAAATTTTTTTGACGGGACCAGAGATATCCCAATTTTTTAACATCCGAGGCTTTCGGTGGAGTCTGAGGTTAGGTGCTCTACTCTGCAGTAGTTCGGCAAGCGTTGTTCAACGTTTGCGTCGATGGTCATAAATTCCACATGTGCGCCCCTTCGTCCATCGCGTGTCGTAACGAAGCCGACGCATCGCGTTCCATCTAAGCGCCCTCCTGGGTCTTGTCGATTCCTTCCCGAACGGACATTGGGGGCACGTTGCACGTTGCTTCGTGATGCCGACATGAAATTGGGTCAACATGCCTTGCGGATGGCGGGAGAGTAAGGAGATGTCAAAGTATTCGAGAAGACGTGGCGACGGTGGCCGGGCCACAGTCGCCGCGTCAGGTCTACTGGGCGAATGTATAGTTCCCAAAAAACACGAAGTGGTTAAGGGAACATCGAACAAGAGAGAAAAACGGATGGAAAGACGGGGAGAGAGAGAGAGAGAAACCGAGAGAGAAAGAGAAGAAAAAGAATCCTTGTTTCCGTGCAGGCATGCGAGAAAAGACATCCAAACGCCCCGAAACTTAAAGACGACCAGTCAATTCCTCAAACGATGCGTCAATGAATAGCTACCATCTTCCTGTGGCCTAGGAGTCAAAGAAATCTCACATACGACGTCTCCATCGAAAGTTATGTGGCTTTAAACTTTTCAGGTGAGCGCGCTGGCGTCGAGCCTTGTAGCGGCGTTGCCGTGGCAACCAAGGACGCCGTCATGGCGGTCCACGGTAACCAAGGCCACGTGTTCGCGAGAGGCCAGGTGTGTAGTACCGACTACAGGAGTAAAGAGATGAAGTTTCAGGATTTCATTTTTGAGTTGGATTAGTGGTAGTTACTTGATCGGTTTTTGGAGGTGTCTTTAAGGCTCGGGGAGCCTTTGGAGTCTCATCGTGGCTCGAAATCACGGCATGGTAGGGCAAGCGAGAAGTAGTAAGCTACTCGTGCGGCATGCTTATCATGGCAGTACTATCCTCTACAGGGTGGTCTAACAGTAGCGACTCAATCTACGTAATTGGGCACGAACTACGGAGTGGCGCTCGAGGACATTTAGGGCAGTACCGCGATGTAGAAATGGACGACGTTCGCTCGCTATCGCGCGCATGACGCATTGTGTCCTTAATGAGCGTCGGGCATGCACGAATATGCCCAGCCAACCAATCATGGCGGTCGTCCCTATCGCCTCCGTGTGAACGTGCCTTAAATGTCGAGAGGCCAATGCAAATTATCGCGCTAAGCCGGAATGCGCCGCGGATGGATCTCTCGTGCGTTTCTCTGATCGATTATGCATTCCTGCCGGCGGAAAGGAGATATTTATGCAAACTCGAAATTTACCATCGCATCGGGGACTTATTTTCCTCCCAGGAAAAGGGGACCCATGTAAACGACCGCACTATGTTAAAACCGCGACCTGAATGCGATTCCGCCGCGTTTATCTGGCAAATCGCGTGGCCGGGAACGCCGAATTTATGCGAAATTGAAATTTGTCACTTTATGGGGGATTTTCCGACGCCCCGGAACGAGTGTCCACGGTAGGAAAGAGTTAGGTATTTTTGCCCAGCGCCATCCCCTTCGCATGAATTATCATATCGGCCCGGAATATGTCGAGGCTGCATTTTTCGCGAGATTTCCTGATAAATCGCGCCTCCCTCCCGTCGCTCTAATAACGGGAAAGAGAAATTTATACCAAGCCGACATTCCTGGGGGAATTTGGGACACGTACATCGCGCACATCCGAGAGAAGGAAATACCGGAAGGAATGAAATTTGAAATTCCGCGAATCCGAGAAAACTTTAACCACGGATTTCTCTCATTTTTTCGCTCTTCTTAAATTTGTCTTCCTTTCTTTCCTTGTTTTCTTTTTTTAGACAGCGAACGAGGCTCGGAATTAAC